AAAAAAAAAAAAAAAAAAAAAAAAAATCTGGATCACTTACAGGTAACTCCCACTGGTAAGGATGAGGAAAATCTGAGGGTAATACACTGAGAGTAACACACTGCGAGATGAAAAAAGGATCATGGCCGAATCCCGTTTACACTCGTGGAGTTCGCTTCCTTGGTTATTCCTTCCTGGCCCCCCCTGGTCGTAACTCCCCACCCTTTTTGGTGTCAGCTGTGGCTTGAATCTGAGTTGGCATCCAGTCCCTTGGGCTTGGGGGGGCTTTGTCTGCTTGTTTGTTTGTTTGTTTGTATGGTTGGGTCTAGGATTCCCTTGGTGCTAATGCCGCTCCCTGTGCGGAGTGTGCGCGGCTGCCGCTGCTGCTCCCGCTGCCGCTGCTGCCTCTGCGCTCCTGCCTGTCATGTCTCAGTGGTTGGAAGTTGTTACAGTGGGTTCTCGTGTTGGAATGAGGATGGTTTAAGGGATTTGGATGGCAGAAAGTGCCTCTCTCTCTCTCTCTCCCTCTCTCTCTCCCTCTCTCTGTAACTCTCCTGAGACTCGGGGCTGCCATTGGGCAATCAGGCACTGCAATCCGCCTACTTTTTTTTTTTTTTTTCTCTCTCTCTCGCCTTTCTCCCTCTCTCTCTCTCTCTTTTTTTTTTTTTTTTTTTTTTTTTTTTTTTTTTCCAAGGGGAGGATGACAATGGAAAGACACTGATCCAGCCCGGGCTGCAATGAATCCGCGCTCCCTGGCCGAGCCCCCTGCGCCATCCTCCCCGCTGCCCGGGGCAGTTTTACAGCGCTGCCCCCGCGCCCGGCGGGCTGCCTGCCCCGGGCACGGCGGCTCGCCCCGAGCCCAGGGGGTGCCCCCCGGCTCGTCCCAACGGCAGCTCCTGGGCTCGGGAAATTGCGCTATGCCGGGGGGTGGCTGCCCCAGGTCCCCCAAAGGGCTCCGCGCTGCCTCCAGCCTCGGCAAGGGCTGCACTGCTGGAAAACGAAGCTCTGGTTTCAGGGGGTCCTTTCTCTATCTCCCTCCCTCCCCATAAAGTATACGTTGTCGTAGCTCTCCGGCATAAGGGGTAGACACCTAGACACATGCGTAGCTTCCAGGTGGGGATGGATCTCGCGTGAGAGCAGAGCAGGGAAGGGCTGGGGCGAAGGAGCCGGGCTGTGGGGGAGACCCAACCAACCCCGGCGCGGGTCAGTCGCTTTCTC